TGAAACAATGAAATTATTCCTTGCTGAAATGAGTGCACACATATTTATTCTCTTTCACATTGTTATGTAATTTGTGTCCTCTTGTCCTAGTGCTAAATGAATCTCTAATAAATCAAGGAGTCTGTGTGTCTGTGTGGTTTTCATCTAATTTAACAATCGTTCATCTGATCTGCTTCAAACTGTGCAGTCTGAGGATGCAGCGTGGTGATCAACAGTCATTGGCTAATAACGTAGCACTACACCCTCTCGTCCAATCACATAAGCCCATGAAATGTCCCCTGGCTTCACGGACAGGGTTTACGTTGGAATAAGTTGGACAAATCTTTTAAAAGTTGCCAAGAAATATCTCCCACTAATGTTTCTGTCGCATCGGTGAGCTGAAACGCCAAACTAGTCGGATCACGTGTTCAGCTGTTGCAGAGAAACACTTTCCTGCGTTTCTGTTTTCTTCTTCTTCTTTTCTGGAATTAAAATTCACAGTGAAAACACCACAAAGATCAAGAATAATACATTCGTAGGACTTTTATACTTTTACACATCACATATAAATCAAGTTGAAGAATGAAGCACATCATGAGCTAGTTAATTATAATAATCTCAAATATTTTAAACTTTGTGATTTCAGAGGTTTAACAAAGTTTCCTATAATGTGTGGTCTGATCTTCATTGCAGGACACAGTAGAACGTGTTCTTTTCTTGGGCTGAATTTGATGCCACTCCTTTCTGTGTTTCCTCCAGTGTCTCCTCCTGCTCTGCTAATTTTGCCTCCAGCTTGGACATTTTTTTCTCGTTTATCCAGCTTCATCTCCAGATCGATGTGTAGAGCCCCAGACAGCGATATGTAGTCATCAGTGAGGCTCTTGTTCAGATTTTCAAACTCTTCCACATCTTATTCATCTTGTGAGCCTCTGTGAATTTGATGTTCAGTAGTTCAGCTTTCTGCAAAGTCTCTAGGAAATTCTCCAGAGCTTTTTTCACATCAGACAGCTGAACTTCCTTCCTCTGGTCGAGGAAAAACACCAGTTTCCACAGAGCTTCAAGTCTTTTCACGACGAGGGGAGCCTGCTGGACATTATCCTTCATCTTCTCAATCGTTCTGTGAACATCCTTCAATGTCGTCATTATTTCCTTGTTCAGCTGAAGAGACATGTGCCAGGGAACAAAATGTTTTTATTCAGCCCTCAATGAGTCACATTCAAATTATAATGACTAGGATTGCTGAATCTCTGAACCTCACGTTGAGCGCACATGGACTCCTCAGCGACCACTTTCACAAAGAAAACAGTTTCCTGCTCTGCTTTTGCTTTAAAGGAGTCCACACATTACCAACTAAACACCACGCTCATCTTGAAACGATCTGAAGTGATACCTGCTGCAGCATTCTCGAGGTCATAAATCAAACAGGTTTATGCAACAACAATACATGCAATGATCCTGGGCTCAAGCCTGGGGAGGGGTCTTCATGTGATTTTTTGGGGGTATTCCAAGCTCTGTTTTTACCTGCCATCAAAAAGGAGGTGCCTTATCTAACAAAATGGTACAATGCACTAAAACATTACATAACACAAGGCGATTGCAGATTTCAGGAACTCGAGGTCTGAAACACAGTGAGGTGAGGAGCTCTCGGAGCTCTCGGCCCACCTGGACTCCTCACCTCCCTCAACACCTGCTGACAGACTTCCAGCAGTCTCAAATGGAAAGCCTCCTGAGCTGGTGCTTTATGGTTTAGGCTACCAGCTGCACAACAATAAGGGCCTGTAACAGCTGGGGAGGCTGAAAACAAACACATTTTTAAAAACAACCTTTTCTCACAGGCAGTCCACGGGCACACTCCCCCCTCTCGCCACTCTCTCTGACTGACGTGTAATAAATCTCTATGTGAAGAACTGAAAGTGGATTAACCCAAATCATTCTCATGTTCGTACAGCTGTCCTTCTTGGCCAGGGACACTCTTGTAAAACAGATAAAGAGTTTTTTTTCCTAGTTAAATAAAGTTAGAATTTCTACATTTACACTACATGTTATTATCCTGTTGCAACATCAGGTCTGTGGGTTTTTGTGTTACAGTGTTGTATGTTTTGTCATTTTGGCAAATTAATTGCACTCAACGTTTGAATGATTCGAGGTAAGTGAATCAGCAACTGTACAAAAGCTGCACACAAAGAACTCACACAGTTAAGCTACACACCTAATGAAAATATTTGTCCATCATGTTCACCTCACAGGAACTTTATCCAGGCTACAGATGCAAACATTTGGGACTGACCAACCTATCGCAACGCTGATTTTTCAAGATATGCCAAAGATATCTCAGAATCTCACCAGAAATTGCACCAATCAGAGCGCGCGGTACAAATGTACAAGGCCCGGCACATGATACAGTTATTATGTACTTTTTACTCAGAGAATGGGATAGGTGTCAACCAAAACTTTACTGTGAATGAGTAGAAAGTAATGAATGAAATTCAAAGGTACCAAACCAGTAAATGATTCACAGTGAGCAAACATTGGTTTGAGGGTCAAACCTGTCCCTTTCCTGTGAGGAGAAAAGCACACAAAACCAAAAAACATAAGCATAGCAGCTCCCTTTGTTCTGGTCTCGTCTGAAGATGCATTTTCCATCTCCTGCTGTGGGGTGTAAGTCTTTGCCACCTTCTCTGTTTCCAGAATGTGGAGGAGAAACAGCTGCTGTGCAAATCTGCTTGAACCCCTTCACACCTGTAATTACACCTGTAATTCTTTAAAACAGGAGGAAAGTGCAGTGCATGTCAGACATGGCAGAAAGCCCATCTGCTGGCTTTTGTGTGAATTTTAGGCCATATCGCCCAGCCCTAACCTCCACTTACATCCCTCATCAGTTTATCTCAATGGGTCCAATGACAGGGTGAGGCAAAGCTTCACAACAATGGTTTCACCTGAAACCTCTGCTGATTTCACAACTTGTTTTTCCACACCTTGACTTGTGTGAGGTGGCACATGATCAACTACCCTCTTCAGGGACAACACCCAGCTGGGTTTAAATACCTAGAACCGATGAAACTTAAAGAAGTCCCCCCCCCGCCCCATGCTCCCTAGATTTTAAAATACATTTTCATGAGTATCCCAAAAATGATTTTCAGTCAGTGATACCAAAATAGTACGATTACGATTTAATGTCCCAAACGTCAGACATGCAAGATTAAAGCATCATATTTCACCATAGTTCTGCTAGCTGTGGAAGCCATTTGCGCGTATATGTTTGCGTTCCTGTGTGCATTCATATTGTCTTCATAATGAACTCGTCTTTGTGTAAAAGTGGGGCAGAGGCCTTGAAAACAAGCACAACTCCAGCCCAAATGCATGAGGAGAAACTGTGTCAGGTTTCCAGGACCAAAGGAGATTTTCTGGCTACGTGACTGAGCAACAAAACAATGTGGCAGATGTTCACGGTGCGTTCACTGACTCTTCAGAATGTTGGAAATCCAAACTGGTGCCAAAGGGGTTTTCAAATATTATAAGAGGGAGGAAATGCACTTTAAGACTTTATATGCAATTTGGTATCAGTTTGTTAACCCAACAATTGTGTGATACAAGTCAAACAGCTTTATTAATCCTTCACAGTGTTTCAGGTGTGTTTTAATGCCTGTTGTTTCACGCATCCATGTGCTCAGTGCTCAGAGTTGCTGGGGTCAGGGGAGTGTGGATTGCAAAGTGGTGCACAGCAAGTGTGGGCAGGTTAAAGCAGCTGTAATAGCACACTTACATGGGATAGCTACTGGGATGTGTAGGAGGCTGTCAGCCTGAGGCCGAGCACTAATATCCACTGATGGCCTACCTGGACCACGGTTATTATAGTTAAATAAACCTAAACTAAAGACAAATGTGACAAAACCCAAACATTTCAGCTAAGTAATACATCAACAATTAAAACCAAGAGAAACCATTATTTCTAAAATAATAAACTGTAATAACTCTGACCAATTTCCCACGTGTGGGACTAATAAAGGTTATCTTATCTTATCTCTGTCTTTGTCTCCTTCTGGCCACTGTGAGTATCTTTGTGGTGACTCACGTTTGTGATCCTCTTTAGGTCATTTTGTGTGTCTTTGTAGTGGAATTGCATTTCTTTGTGGTAGTTTTGTGAATCTTCTGGTTGGTTTGAGTCCATTTATCTCTTTGAGGTTGTTTCCAACCTCTTTGTGGTTATTTTTGGATCTTTTTGTCCGGTAGCTGTAGCTACCCCTAGGTAGCTAGACAGGGCACATCATCTACTAAAAAAAGTCATACTATTAGAATAAAAGAGTAATAACAAATACGTTTTATGCTGTCATAAATAACAGCTAATAATTCTAATGATAGCAGCTTTTACAGTGGAAGTGGAATACATTATATGGATATAAGAGAGGTATTTTAATTATTGCACTTTCCACCTAAAGTACATGTTGCACAGGGATCGGCAGAGTTTATGCTGGGCCTGATGGCCCATGGGAGAAGCTGCTTTTTTAATCTGCTGGTCCTCCTTTTTATGCTCTTGTACCTTCTTCTAGAAAACAGCAAGCTAAAGAGGCTCCACAGGGGGCCTGTACTCTTTAAACTTCAGTATAATACAGGAATGTCAAACACAACTACAGCCAGACCAATTCAGTTTCATTTACTCTCACCAGTGAAACTCTCCTTTTGTGTCAGTGTAACGAAGTTTAACCACACATTTAAAACCTGAGATGTCTTAGTAAAAGAACAAGAAGTTCAAAATTTCAAAACAACTGCAAAAAAAAAAAGTTGCCAAAAAGGTTCTGGTAGCCTATCACCAGTTTGGCGTCTTTCTGGCCCCCGGGCCTTGTGTTTGAGGCTGCGGGTCTTGTTTTCCCGGACTTCAGGATTGCTCTCTCTGTCCGACACTCCCTGCACGCACCGTCAGGATTTGTTTTGGTCCTGCGGGGCTGTGTCACAGCCATCCAATCAGAGACGAGAAGGGTCGCGGGCGTGTCATGTGACCCCTCCCTCCCCTCCTTGTACGCCACTCCGAGATGCTGCGCGCGCGTCTCTCAGTGCGATTCATTCCCTGCGCGCGGACGGACGCCTCTAGCTTGTCTCCATCATTTGCGAAGCTCGTACGATTATTTTCATCGTCACTGTTATTATTATTGTTAAAAAAGAGTTAAAGAGCAGAAACCTGCCGCACTGCGGGCTCCACACCGAGAGAAACAACTGAAATATATCCTGCGACACACGCACCGGAGGGGGCCCGCGTTCGCCTACTTCCTGTCTTACTGTCGAAAAAATGAAAACCAAATTCATCAACGGGGTTTCTTCTTCCCCCTCCATGTCGCTGGGCCTGCTGGTGACCGAGAACGCCCTGCAGGTCCAGCCAGACACCCAGGAGGACTGTGACGAGCTGGTCCGCTCCGACCAGCCCGACCCAGACACCCGGAGGAGGGCTTATCTGTGGTGCAGGGAGTTCCTGCACGGAGCCTGGAAGAGCCTGGCCGAGGACCTGTTCCAGATCACCATCATCAGGTGCGGATGATCATCGGAACCGTTATTTCTCTTTATTTTCACCATCCGATGTGTTTTTCTGTAAACCGTATGATGAGATCATCTCACAAGAGCCATGTGACCCAGAGTGGTCGAAACAGCAGAGCTCATTTCATGTTCCCGTGTCAGAATCTGCTGCTATAGTGCAGTCTGTATTCTTAGCCCGACGGCTGATGTAGTTGATAGCAAGTGGGAGCCTACCTCCCACTCAAAAGAAAAGAAAACTGTCCCACAGGCCGACTTTAACTCATTTCAGTCATTACTGTTAAACCTCTCTGGCATCAGTGTTGTGATTATTTTTATTGCAGATAGTTTTTAATTAAAAGTGTACAAATGTTTAAACTTAAAAAAGTCTGCCTTTTTTTAAGCAGCACTTTTCTTTGGTAGAAGTTTTGTAAGCAAGAACTTTTAACAGTGATGAGAAATATAATGAAAACATTAAAAAGGAAACATTAGTGGGCCCAGGACTGAGCCTTGTGGAGCACCGTGGTTAGAGAAGCAGTGTTAAAAGAGATCGTGCTCACTCTAAAAAAACTCCAGAAAGGCTGACTTTAAATAATTTAATTACATGAAAAACTGTAGTTTTGTTACATGAAGTGTAAAATGTTAGATTTAATAGGATCTGGTCCACTTTACTTGATTGGTAAACGTTCACCCTACACAAAGCACATTTTCCTCAATGATAAACGTTTTAAATAAACGAACCTTTGAGTGTAGATTAGGATTGATTGATGTAGTGCTGCCAGAACAATGAAACCTCAGGTCATGACCTCTTAAAATGATGGCTGGTAGCTGTATCTGTGTTTAACACAAGAACTTGGATGACAGCTGATGACATTATTTCTTGTCATTTTTTAAATTCTCTTCTTGTGTTTACAGTCGCTGTGCTGATATCAGTATCAGCCCGATAACAATATTGGCTCCTAAATGCTATTTTAAGCCACTCCCTTATTCAAGAGGAAAACTTCTGTGGAAAAGAGAGCAGGGTGTCCTCCTGGGATCTTTTTATTGTTAGGCACATGTGAAACCACTACAGAGCTGCTAGTTTTGGGGTTTTTCTTCTATACACTGGTGAATCCATCATTTAATCACACACACGCAAATATCAATATCATATTCGCTGTCTGTCTGTGTTCCAGGGGTGGTCTGAGCAACAAGCTCTTTCTGTGCAGCCTCCCCGACAGCCTGAACTGTGTTGGGGACGAGCCGAGGAACGTCCTGCTGCGCCTCTATGGGGCCATCCTGCAGGTGGGAGCCACATCACATGTCAGTGTTTTACTGTGCAAAAAGTAACCCAGAGTCGCCACGAGGACGTAAGGAAGTACTTCCCCCTCGGTAGTTTTTAGTCTGCAGTTACTGCTTTTTACTCACACTCACAAATAAGAGCAGACATGTAAAAGTGTTAGAGATAAACAACAAAATAGACGAGTGAAAGTGCCGTTATGTGTGAATGTGTGTCACATGCTTATATTAGTGTATGCATGCAGTTATGCCTTCATGTATGTGTGTTTGTGTGCGTGTTAGCCATTGTTGTACATGGTGATGTACCCCCATGGCTGTACATGCATGTGTTCTTTGCCGTAGGCTTCCCAAAGGAGCGTGCCTTGGGCACTCTTGTTCCCAGGTGAACCCACCCAAAAACACGGTACAGTATGAGATCTATGAAGTCTCAGCCTAATACAAAGATGTAACACACACTCATGTAGCTCAGCCGCTAGGAAGGAGAACAAAGTCCTCCTGCCTGTCCTTTTCCTGCTCTAAATCCCTGTCTTGTGATTCTTAATCATTAAGAAGTCAGCTTCAGTTTCAAGCTAGCGGACAAACGGCAGACCTGATGATGGCTCAGATCAGATAGATCAGATTTCTGCTGCCCATCAGGTGCTTTTTTTGGAAAAAATAATCTCTTTGCATGACGTGGCCGCTGAGTCCAGAGTTCATGATGTCAGACTCATCAGCAGATCCACTCTTACGATAGCGCTTAGCTGCTGGCGCTCGCCACATCGGAGTGGTTTTGCTTGCAAACAGCGAGCGGTAAGAGTTCAAGGCCAGCGAGATGTTTGCACAGCATATTCTAATCTCCTGCTGGCGATCAGAACACAACAGAGTCACAACTGAGATTCAGCCACTAAATTTGGCATTTGCAGCTGAGAGTGCATTAGCAGGAGACCTGCATTAAGTATTAACTCTGCTCTGTGTACTTGCTAATGAGCACGTAAGCAGTTAGCTTTTATTGCCGGGGATGTACGAGAGCACCGCATCACAGAGTCCTTTAACCGAGGTAACTGCGGTCGTCTCCGCCGTGCCGCAGGAGGAATTAATGATGTCTAATCAAAAAGCTAATATGATTAGGGGACGAATGCCTTTGTCTGAGTGCACAGCTACTAATGATTAAACCGAGCGTAACTGCACTGGAGACTGTTTCTGAGCAATAAAGTTATGTGATGCTGATGAGCAGAAACCTGCAGCTCTCAGTAAAAGTGCAGGTTTCATATCCATCTGCCTCTGCTCTGCTCCTGCCTTCAGTCTGAGGGCCGCTGCCTGAACAGTCTTCTGCACTGTCGCATCCAAAAGACTCGGTGTGTGTTTGAGCTCATACTGTACTGTCTGCACCGCGGGCACAGCTTTGATGTTGACGGGCGGCTTGGCGACATGTATTCATGGATAGTTCTTCCCTTTTTCTCTTGTTGATAGATGTCCTGTAATAAAGGGGATTCTCGAGAGTCAAACAAAGAAAATCACTTCCAAGTAAGTAACAGACGACAGTTTCTCTACTCAGAGTGTACGTCCACAGCAACACTCGACTCACATGTGTATGCCCCCTCCCCCGTCACACTGATTTCTCAGAAGATTTGTTCTCCTCCCCTAAATTCCTCTCTAACTCACGCTGAGCCTGAAGAGGATCCGCCAGGTTTCTCTGAGCACGTGCGTCGGCGGGGCTTTGGGGGAATTCACAGGAACGGCCGAATACCAGTTAATTTAATACCTGGCTCACCCGACACTGCATGACTGAAAATCTAAAGTGTTACTTTTTTCTTCCGTTCAATTTCTGATTTTGTCTTTTAACACCAAAGCACAGACACCCAGGAGATATAAACTGTAGCTGGTCATTAACCTCTTAGCATCCTCAACGTCCCCGACGACCAGAGGTTCACAGGTTAGGTCCACATTTTCACTCATTTGGTCAAAATGCATCTCGAGGCTTGATTTGAACGGTAACACCTTCCAGTTTCTGAAACTAGGCCCTTTCAGCATAAATCTCGCCCTCGCTGGTTACCCGGTGGCAGACGTGACATTATTCCCCGTGTTTACACGCTCTTCCGCATGACCTGCAGTTTAAACAGCCCTCGTGGATGTGTATTTGCTTCCAGAAGACTTTCACAGTCGCGTATTTGCAGGGACTTTTTCTCTGCAGTCGGTGTGAACACGCCTTTATTAAATGTGTAATGTTACCACCGTTTGGAGTTTTGCAATGTACTTCTGTTGACTCTGTAATTAACATGATTTGTGCATTTTTAAAAATAATTGTTGTTTTATGACATTGCAGCTGAATTTGCTGCCTCTGTGCACCACAAAGGTCATTTAGTGTCATTTAGTTCCATTATTCTCCAGCAAAGGTAAATGTTCTGGTTCGTTCACAGCAGTTTTCAACTCGAGAACTCAAAGTGCACTCTTTGGTGAACGCATTTAGAGCAAATCAGAGTTCAGTAACTTTCCTAAGGATACTTTGGCCTTTCTGCTGTACCACCACAGCCACCACAGCCGCCCAGGTCGATCGTGTATATCTTCAAAACAGGAAAACAGAAAACTAGGTCAAAGGTTAAAAAGCAAAACAGACAACAAAAAAGTTTTATTTCAATTTTAATTTAGCGAGAAATTAAAAAACTAAAGTACTGATGTCATGTTAGTGGTACACATATGAAAAATGTCTGATTGACACTAACCTTGGTGATACTGCACCTTAACACTGTGGTCACAACATGCAAAGCACAAAAAGGAGATGATGCAGTATTTAAGTAGCTAGAGTTACATCTACGACTGCGGACGTACGTGTTAAGGTGATAAAGGTTCGTTCAAAAAAGTCTTTAGATGTTACAATGTTACAATAAACTGTTCTGAATGTCTTTGTTGGCTTATGTGGCGTCAGCTGGCCAGCAGTGATGCAGGCTATCGTTATTGACCCCAAATGAATCATAAATGTAATGTGTAATAGTTCACACAGTCTGAGGGTTTATGGAGTACACTGCCTACAATCACTGCAGCCCCCCACACAATGGTCACAATGGCTTAAAGAGGTGCTGCTTTGATGATTGCTTTGAAGGATGTAGTTCTTGTGTTACCTTCTCTCGCAGTCCTCTAAACTTTTTGGATGCCAACCTGTGATGTAACACATACGCACACCTTGTCCTAAAACAAATTAAGTCGACATGAAGCGACGATGAGCGGGTGCCGATGTTTCCTCACAAGAAAAGGAAGACATGGAGATTCTGGGTTGGTCCAATTCTCAGGAGAAGGCATGAGCGGGGAGGGTTTCATGGTTCAGTTGAGGAGGTGAAGCTCAGGATTTCGTCCATATTTCAGGGTCAGTTGAGCTCTTGTTGGCAGAGTTGGGACTACATGTGAGTAGCTGTGCGTCTGAGGTAAACTGGTATTATTTCACTATTTCCATCTCATTCTATAGTCAACAGCGGATCTGATTCGTTGGATCTGTTTATTTGCATCCTGCTGCTGTACATTTTACAATACGTGTGTTGTAAACCTGCTAAAAGCATGTTCAGGGTAATTACGAGCTGAGTGCTGACAGGCTGCATGTTCTTAATGTGCAGACAGGAAGATAAAATGCTGAAATGCACAAGTGAAGGAAGTTTGCGCGTTACGCAAGCCTCATAAAAAGACTAATTTTAGTGATAGATAACCAGCACAGATGTGTTCAGGGTATCACTGCAGGCAGTGTACCGAACCTTAAACCCACTGACTCAGAAAGTTCTGTACCCACGCGGCATCATGTGACCCCCTTTGACCGTCACCTTACAAAGCTGAATCATGACTCTCTGTCATGGGACTGAGATTAGGTCATCAGCAAGTTAGCCATTGTTTCCACTCAAGTATCTTTCCATAAAGATGGCAGCTCCTCCCCCTTGACTCCACTTCTCTAATCTTCAGCTCGCCGTGAGGCTAACGCTGGACTGCGAGTGTCTTCAGATAACCTCGCCTAGATCCGCCTTCCCTAACAATGCAGTGTTCAACGTAAATCCCATTTGGATTAGAAAGGATGATGCGATTAATTCCTTGGATGTTTCAGTCGTCACAGCAGAGCTGCAGCTCTCATGTCGGACAGTTTACATCCAGGTGAAGACGACACAGTGACACAGTTAGGCTACAAACCCTGTGCTGGTTTCAAGATGTAGCTTGATTTAAAAGCGTTGGCCATTTTTAGCGATGAAGGCTTGTGCCGCCCCTTTCCTCCTGTATTTCTCTGAGATCTTAAGTTGTCACAGGTGGTAACGGTAACCTCGGTCCTTATCTTATATTTTGGAGAAGACCAAAACAGATATTTTGGGTAAAAATGTGAATTTTTTTAATCTGTGTCAGGCAGAAAGATTATTTTTGTTACCAAGCCGTTGGCAGATTAGTTGAATATGTCAAGGTCAGGGTTAGCGTTGTGATCATCACTTAGTACTCGGAGGAGGAACACCTAAGTTATTCAAAGGGAGTTCAGTTTGATCTATTCTCTTAGATAATGTGCTTCCTTTTGATGTCCTTTTATCACCTTCATTAATCCATCGTCTTACACTCATAGCAGAGTGGATAAGTATTGAGGTTAGAGCAGCAGCTGTCTGAAGCTCACAGTGCACCTGCTCCAAGGCCAGGCCGCGAAATACCTCTGAGCAGACGCAGCACATGACTGGCATAACAACTTGGATTCAGTCATAATCAAATATTCACCAGGAACAGAGTGCATGTTAGACCAAATGTTCCTCGGATAGCAGCACAGACGATGCCGTGTCAGGCGACAGAAAACTGCAGGAGTTTTTCATCAGGAATGTCTCGATTCTTCTGCGTCCGAGCCGCCAGCCGGGGTTACGGCTAACGCTGGTTGATAATTAACAAACCTGTGGGAGAGAAAGCAAGTCAAACATGCATGTAAAACAGACACTGGCATTTGGAATAGGTCAGAGGAAGTGGAAGTGAGGTCGAGGGAGGACTGCAGGCTGCGAGACCGTCGATACCGACCACGCTCACCGTGTGGGCTGATGCAGCAGCCTCTAAAGAGCCCATCAAACAGAAATGGACCAGTGCATTCACTTAACTGACATTTGGGTCACTCGTATGCTTTCACTTTATTATTATTTTATTTTATTTTTCAGCACAGTGTGATCGCTCTGAGGCCTCGTTATCTGCCAGCATTTGTGTGATCATGATAATGTGGATAATTCATGTCGGAGATTTGAAAATGCCTGCGATCAGGAATAAACGTGAACGAGCTGCTCTGCGGTCGGGAGCTAACGTGTTCACTTCCATCGCTCTGTACGTCCATTGTGTTCATACTAGCAAGTATGGCTGCACGAAGAGCACCACGGGTTCCTGTATGATGCACCCATACGGGTCAAAAAGTCAGGCATCCTCTAAACCGCCTCACATTTTGGTTTAATGGTGGGATGAGAGGAGTCAGCACTGCCAGCGCTAGCTAACAAGCTAACGGCAGATATTTTCAGGCACTGGCATCACGCACGGTCGCACTTATTATAGCAGCGCTGTCGCCTTCACTGCAGGAAGCACTGAGTGTTACTGTTTGAGTGACGTTGTGGTTTTAAACATTCAGAACATGCTGCGTCGTGCACAACAATCAACCGCAGTAAATCAGCAGCTTGCTGTTTGCAGTTTAGAAAACCACAGCCCTGTCAAAATTCATGCACTACATAATTACACAGCGTACTGCATAACAGTACGTAGACAGAAGTATCTGGATGTAGGCAGAAGGATATCTATGCTATTAATAATCGACTGAAATAACCGTGAAAAAAGGAAATAACAGTTTGCTTTAAATGTATTTATGCGAAGTTCAGACATTCCCTTAACCAGGTCACTAAACTATTAAGCTGCTAATAATCCCAGAATTCATGCAGTGCTGACAGTTACTGTAAATAGGTTGCCACTGTTGTTGGTGGCTAACTGTGGATGTTAGCAACAAAGTGCTCAGAGAACAATCATTGATGTGGAAATGGTTCACAAACCAGTTTGAGTGCCTCGAGACACCATCACAGGATCAGAGGACGCTCCACCTGACTGACAACCAGTGACGCTCACATACACAACCACAGGTTCTGCCAGCTTACCAAAAGCCAACGCCCACGTATGTTTTTGAACCGTGTGACGAAAGAGAACATTCAAATTTTACACCAGCCGGGCAACAATCCTAACCAGGGAGAGATTCGAAGTACTGCCCAATTCACTGGTGTTTTGTTAGTGCTGCATTGTTTGTTCTGCTTTTTTCTTCAGCAGATATGATAGAAAACAGGAAAATAGCCACATAGCTGCCGTAAAAGGCAGATGGAATATTGTCGTCATCCCACCAGGCAGCTGTAAACGTGATAACTCGAGAGCAAGGCGACGTTTTACCAAACGTGCATCTGCTAAATTTCTGCTGACGTCAAATTTTCCAAAAACTCAGTTCAGTTTAGTTTAAATCAGACTTATTCGTATAGCGCTACTATAATCTACTTCCTATGATGCTTCTCATCCTCACCTTGTCCATGTAACACATGAGAACCGAGGGAATCTCATCCGTGTGTATAGCTTTACCAAGTTACGTGGTAAACAGAGACTGGTTACTGGATGTGTAGGCAGCATGCAGCTTTGTCACAGCAGAGATTCCCATATTCCCTAAAGAGATTTTACCTGGAGTCCAATGTTGTGCTTCCTTGTTGGCAGATCAGTCCTGTTCTGCTTTGAGACGGACGTGGTTCATAATAATTCATAATGTTTAGGAGGCCACAGAGTGGGCAGCATTGTTTTCTTTGAGTGGGCTTCCTGTCGGGCACTCATTATGAAACATTCCCATGGCTGTTATCCAAAGAAGCAGGCGCACGTTTGGATCCAAACCTCTGTCTCTGCTGCAGTTTATCTCAAGGTTATTCACTCAACAGTATGAGGATGGCAATATATCACTGATTTTTATTTCAAGGCTTGAACTGCAGCACAACGTGGAGGTTATTCAAATCAAATGGGCACTTTAGCAATTTACACTTTACATTTTCAAAGTTAAGAGACTAAAGAAAATTGAAAAAGTTAATAGTTTTTCAGAAATCACTGAGCTGATGAACGCTGCATGTTCCAAACTTTTCAAACAGTTTGAAGCTGATATAGCAATACAAGAAAATTCAGTTCAGTCTTATTCATATAGTGCCAAATAACCTCCGACAGAACCAGGTCAGGGAGGGGCGGGGCCACCGGCTGGGGGTGAGGCGAGGACGATGGGACAAAGACGCGCTGTGGAGGAGAGACAGAGTGATAATAAGTAATGATTAAATTCAGAGATGTGTATAAACACATGGTGGATGAAAAAGGGGACTGAAGAAGAAATAGTCACTGTATAGAGTGCTTATGCAGCTGTAACCATATGCGTTCTGAAAAAGGGAAGTTTTAAGCCTAATCTTAGAAGTACACACAAATCAATGATAGCTGTGGTCTTTGGTTCCTGACAGGATTTAATAGCATGGGTGGTCTGTTCATGACTTTCCCTAAACTAAACTCCAGTAAAAGTAAGACTTAACTCCAAACCTGGTGCATATTTGGTGAGAAGCCTGGTTTCCAGCAGAATCGAGTCGGCACACAGTTTTGTCTTTGAGGACACGTGACTGTGCTGGCATGAGAGGCTCCCCGTTGGTCTCCGGGCTGCACGTGTTGCCGTGGGAGCGTTGTGCGTCTCTAAGATTAAACGAGAAAACACAAGGCCGTCTGTCTCCTCTGCTCCAGCAGCTTCAACTGCGAAGCCAAGTCTTCCTGGAGATTTTCGTCTACCTCTTGTGTTTCTCCTCACCGCTTTGACAGGCAAACCCTACTAACCCTAACCACAACATTTCTCCTCATTCAGAATCATCCATCCTTGTCCTCCACCACCCGATTGCCTCCTAAGCCCCTTTCAGACGTGCACTTCACTCTGCTGAAGTTGTGCCATTTTCACACGTCAGACCTTTTCATGTAAAGCAGCTTTGGCAGGCTGCCTACCAGAAACCCTGAAAAGAAGATTTTTCCTTTTCAAAGGCAGTCTGTCTGTGTCTGAAAGTGGCTGCAGAGAGGATTCATCCACTCTAATCTTAACGTTTTCAGCCTGCGTGACCAGAAAGAGCTCTTTGTCTCATTGGCTATTCTGTGGCTGTGATGGGAGCTAACGGTGGAGGTGCTGTGAACTCTGACACCGTGTTGCCTGAAACGTTGACGTGTTGCTGTTGTGTATCTTCAGGGCGCCGAGGCCATGGTGCTGGAGAGCGTGATGTTCGCCATCTTGGCTGAGCGAGAGCTCGGACCCAAACTCTACGGTATTTTCCCTCAGGGCCGCCTGGAGCAGTACATCCCCGTAAGTCCCCGTGCGGAGCCGCACTTACACATCAGGTTTCCTTCTACAGAACTCAAGTTAGAAGCAAACTTTATGATCCAGACGCAGGTGCTTTATCGATCTGATCAGCTGTTATGGGATGAATAGGCATTATCACGTTGTCAGCACGAAATCACCTTTTCATGGACACCAGCTGCAACAGCAGGAAGTGATGTCACTTATAAATGAACACAATTGGAAATGTATTTCTTTCCTTGTTTTTGTCCAAGACTTCTCAAAGCTGCACTCCTGCTGTCTGCTGAACTTTATCCCAAAGTACTGATGTTCTCAGTATCCTGTTGGAAATAGTTTATTTTGACGTACATCCTGTCTTTTTACAAACCAATGTGCATTTTATTTTCATTTTTGCTAAAGTTTATAAAGATTAGTTTAATGAAGTTGGGAACAAACTCCAAATACATTTCACCTGGTTTCAAAGTTTTGTTTCATTTACAAAAATCTGTTTTAGAGAAAATATTTTCTCTTTGTGGTTTATTTGATTTTTTAGCAGTTTAGGAGCACTCAAAGAAGTCCAATACTGCTGCTAATACTCACAACTTTATTTTTCAAGATTAGGACTGAGAGGAAAGAAATGTTAGAGTGTGTGTGTTTGTATTCAAATCTTTGTGGGGACCAGTCCCCACAAGTCTGACGGCATTTTGAGACACAAAATGTGGTTTTAGTTACAGGATTACAATTAGGTTATATTTAGGGTAAGAGGCTGGGAAAAGCATTATGTCCACACATGATATGAATACACAACT